GGTGTCATGTTATACTGACAGCTTTAACACTAGATCAGCGGTCCCCAACCTTTTTTGCCCCACGGACCGGTTTAATGTCATACAATATTTTCAGGGACCGGCCTTTAAGGTGTGGCGGACAAATATGAGATGACCTGCATGAAAACTGTGGTATTTTCGAAACAGAATAATAAACACGAATCGTGACACGAGGAATGTCCTGTCTGGCCACAACGCTCTGATCGCTGTGGTAACGTTTAAACGTGCCTTCAAAATAAGATAAAAAGTGCATGAAAAATACGACTCACCATTCGCCGCATATTATATAGGGTGAGCTTGGTGCGTGGGAATCTCCCGTTGAGATAAATCTGTATTTTAAATGTAGCCTTCTTTTTCTTGAAAGTCTCCTGACTGGGCCTTTCCCCCTTCCCAAAGAAACTTTCCAAAGACGTTTGTTTTTTTTTACTCATTTTGCTAGCTCCTGGGTTTCGTTTTAGCGGTAACCCATCACGGGATCGAGAAGCGCGCCTTGACCTGCGTCAAGAGTGACACACTGTAGACGGATGTAACAGAGGATCCGGTCAATTTTTCAAAATAAAACATCTTTTTTGATTCGGAAATGAATAAAACGGAAGTAATGTAATTTATTTATTCTTTCTGTGCGGCCCGGTGCCAAATGACCCACGGACCACTACCGGTCTTTGGCCCGGGGTTTGGGGACCACTGCACTAGATCTCATTTTAACGGTAACTGACCCCGGTACCCTGTCGCCACAGAACTTCCCAATTCTCCTGGAGTCGTCTCTCTCCCCTCCGTTGAACAGAGCCACGTAGTCGTAGCGACAGTATGTGTCCGGTTCCAGGTCCAGCTTCTCAAACTTCAACTCGATCACCTGGCGAAGAAGCGGCGACACGCCAACACAAACCGTGACGTGAAATAAATAATAATCCGGCTGTCGCGCCGCATTTCTTTCCTGGATCCCACCGCTTGCGATACAAAGGACGGCATTTAGCACCGCTCTCAGCCCGGCTTCCTAATTCTTCAATCTATTGGCAGGCACAAGCGGGCACGCATAAGGAACTCTTTCATTTGTGCGAGAAGCGCTCCTGGAGACAAGCCCCCTTTTGCAGGTGTGGGCACGCCTCTTCCTGCAGCCGCTCCAAAGCATCGCTTTTATCGCAGAAACTTGTATACGGAGCCACCTCAACCTAATTTGGATCTCTGCTTTGAGTAGAGTGTGCGTACTTTTGCCACCTCTGTTAACATCTCATTGTTCTTGCTTGGTTGGAATAGCCCTTAGGCTACATCCTAAGCCGTCTGAAAGGGGAACCGAGGCTCCATACCTGAAACAAATGAATCTAAACGCATTGAAATCTTGAGGTGAGTCTGCTCACGTTGCTCGGCTCGACCGAGATGTACCAGGAGCAGCTGATGCCTGCCGGGTAGTTGGAGTTGGGCCAGTTGGGCGTCTGGATGGACCCCTGGGATTTGGTCAACCGCCCGCCGCAGAATTGATTCTCTGTGGAAAGGGCGGGGAGAAAACCACACCAAAATGTGCTCATGCAGTCGTCTGAATATATTTCGAGCCGCCACAAAAATGACACCACACCTTCCACATGCGGCTTCCCCGCCCGGAAGTAGGCCAGGAAGCCTCTCCCCCCCGTGGCCTCGTCCGACACCATATCCAGCATCATGGTGTTGGACGTGGAGATGAGCGCTCCGGGCCGGAAGGTCCCACAGAAGCGGCCCAGCTTCTGGACCAAGCGCGTGTGGCCGTTGTAGACATCCAAGTAGTCGTAGCGGCAGGTGGGCTCTGCCTCCATGTCGAATAGGCGGAAGGACAGCATGACCACGTGACCTTCGGGGACCTTGAAAGACCAAAAATGCTTTCATAATGAGACTCACACATTGCGCCTCGGCCCTCACGCCCTACTTCACGGCCACGTCCTTTTTTTGGGTTTTTTTTTTGTTTGTTGTTGAGGTTTAGGTGTTAATGACGAGAGTGATTCTCAACCACTGGTCTGAAAATTATAATTTGCACTGCTGCCTTGACATACGAGTGACTCGACTGAGTTTTTCGAGATAGAGATAATTTCAAAACAAAATTGTAATAATAAAAAGCTCGAGAGCAGTTTGTCAGATAATGAACATTTATTTTTTTTTTAAGGACATTCAAACCTTTCCTTGCCACAAGCAGTTGGAGTTTCCTGTCAAACAAAACCGAGAGAATTGCACATTGAATTTTTTTCAACAACAACAAAACTTTGCCTTTGAAATCTTTGCGCGCTAAATGTTAACACGCGAATGGGCAAATGAATGGCATCGATAGTTGCGGTGTTGGAACACTTCACACAACGGATATTTGAAAGCGGCCAGACAATCTCACAATACTCACAAGCGTATATTCTTTATCCTCGGTGAAAACGAATAGAAATTACGATTATCGCAACTTTCTGATGTACGAGTGTGTCCGAGGACGGAATTAAACTTGTAAGTCGAGGCACTACTGTACTCCAAATATAATGACAGACATATCGTGAAGAAGGACGATGACCGTGCATGCTCTTTCACGAAAAATTTCGATCTACAGTTAATAATTTTTTTCACGATCTCGTTTGGCATTGCGACACAACGGTGTGATTGTACGTTAAAGAAGGAAACCGATTTGTGACTCACAGTGATGTACCAGGTGCATTTGCTGTTGGCTTTGTAAGGACTGGGGAAGCCCTCGCTGGCCACGATGCCCGAATCGACGACCAGATGCCCCCCGCACTTGAACACGGGCCTGGTGGAATGTAGAGGAAGCATATGCGAGGCCACAATCAGACGCAAGCGCCACTTCAAACGGCGAGTTGAACGCGGCACGGTGCCTGCAAACGTTTACGTGCGCGCCGAGCCACAGCGGCACAGTGTGCCTCTGTTTCAAAGCCGCTCC